GAAATAGGACAAGAAAAATATTATTACACTCATATGTAGGATATAAAACAAAGCAACAAACAAATACAACCCTTAAAGATACATGCAACAGTATGGTGGTTACTGGAAGGGAAGGGGAGATTGATAAGGCAAAGGGGTTTAAATATATGGTGGTGGAAGAAGATTAGAGTCTTTACTGGTGAGCCTAGCAAAGACTAGCAATATACAGATGTTGTATTAGAATTGTACATCTGAAACTTACAAAATAGTATTAACCAATGTTACCCTAATATACTTAATATATTTAAATATAAAAAAGAAAACATTCACTTCTTAAAAGTTGTATACATTTCTAGAGATAAGTGCTCTGGGCCTGACTGGAACGGATCCAACAACAACAAAAAAATACTCAAGCAGAGAAAAGCAGCACCACGGTCTTTGCCATTCGAGGGCGCTAGCAAACCCTTCAGTATTTACTAAGTATTTCACCAAAGCAGACTTTGGCTCAGTTTGTGTCACAGTCAGATCCTGAGTCAGAAATAATTTCATTGATCTGCCCTACTCTTCAGTTTTAATGTCTTCATTGATTAGGCAACTGAGATTATGTGGGAGGAATATCATAATAGTTAAAAATGAATGTTTCTTTGAAGTGTAATTTAAAAGTGCTATTGAAAAATGTTTGTATGTCAGAGATATTCAAAGACTTTCTTTATTCATATGAAGATTCAGCTTTAATTACTCCTCCCATGATCAGTGGGATGGATGGAAGGTAGGCCTCCAGGTCATGAATGTTTTTGAAGTTATTGGGGTCACCTGGGATCAAACAGATAACCAGCACTTGCTCTTGAGAGGTCACTGGGTACCTCATAAAAAGGAATTCCAAGAAACCCGGGGATTCCATGTAAGGGTCTGGACACTTAGAAAGTGATCCCTTGGGAAAGTCATGCCCAAGCATGTGCCATGGAAATAGCCAGGCTTTCAGAACATGGCATTGCTGGATTCACATCCCACTTACTCTGTGGAGTTCATTCTTCATTGTCTTTGATTTCTTCATTTTTAAAATGAAGATAAAAACACTTAGAATCATTTACTTTATCCACTTCTTGTAATGAATAAAAAGACATGATGTCTCATAGTGTGGTTATTGCAGGGTGGGTGGTAGATGCAGGTGGAAGGGGACATAGAAGGGATAAATGGTGATGAATAAAATAAAAAATACATTTACAAATAAAATTTAAAGACAAACAGAAATAGGGATGATGTCTCTAAAAGGCTAAGTAGAAAGCCTGATACATAAAAGTTGCTTAACAAATATCTGCCCCGTTTCGCTGTATAGGAGGTAAGAAGGATATGGGGTGGTGGAGTGAGGAAAATGATTTTCCTTCAATTGGTCTGCTTAGAGGTAGAATATGTGCTTTTCTTTAACTCAAGTGAGAAACCTGTTCAAATGGTGCCCAGGGAGACATAGGATGTACCAAACCACAGCCCCAAGAGGAGATGTGACTGAATGGTGGTAAGGAGTACAGTACACACGTCACACAGACTGACAGGTTCTAATACCCGCTCTCTCACTTTCTGTGTGCCTTTGGCTAAGCTATTTAACCTCTCTGCTCTGCTCCCCTGGATGTAAAGCAGTGATAATGATACCCATCTTATAGGGGGTGCAATATACCCCTCTCTGATTGGCTAACCCATTTCATTTATTCCCAGACACTGGATTCTCCTCTCTCGAAGGAGGGCTCTTTTCTCTTTTTAACTTCTTACGTAAGAAATATTTTCTTTTCTCTTTGCTATACAAACCAGAAGGTCATTTTGATTTATATATTTTTCCAATTTTCATCCTAATTGAATTTTCTTAGCTGAATGTACAATTTTGTTTTTCATGACAGAAAATTCATTTATAATTCATTCATATTCTCATTCTCTCTACCACCTCCTCCCTCCACCTCCCCAACAGAAAGTTGCATAGTTTGGAACCAGCCAACACTATGACTAATACACTTCAGATATTCCCTAAAAATCTCACACAAGCTGAAAAATGTCTGTATTGTTTTGGAATACCAATAAGGACTTAGGGCAAAATACTCTTCTACCAGGGCTATGCATTGTGCTGTAGGTTCTCTTAAGCACAGCATGGCAACCCTACAAACGCTTTCACTTAATTTACATATGTGTGAATATGTATATATGTGTGTGTGCGTGTGTTTATGTGTATGCATATGTGTATGTGCACACATATGTGTATGTGTATGTGTATAAAATCTGCAACCAGCAAAGTATAATCCAGGTTTCTTTTCAAAAGGAGCAACCAGCTTAAATGCACAGCTGGGTATGGCAGAAACACATAATTAGACAAATTGGATTTAAGAGTTACATAAGGTCTCAACTGAGCCGGTGAATGAGAAGCTGAATGAAACGCTGTGATTGCTGCTCTGGTGCCTTGAAAGAACAGAATATGTGGAAATGTGTGTTTGGGGCAAATAAAAGGCAATTACTGGGAGTTATGGGGTGTAGTTGGCATTCTATGAAAGTTAGGCTATTCAGTGTTTCACAGTGGGCTGTGCTGGGTGGGAATAAAGTGTTGTCCATGGCTTAAAGGGGGAGTCTGTTAGAAATGTGCCTAAAAGGAGAGATTTGACAAATACTACTTTGGCGTTCTATTTTTTTTGGGGGGGAAAGGAAGTAGAAAATTTTACATAATATATAAAGTCTCAGTAGCTTTATAAAAATTCTTAGGGAATTTTAAGTACAAGGGGATACATTATATGTTATTATTTCCCTTCTAGAAGTGAACCTTTCTAGCTAGAGCAGGTATATTCAAGAGAAGATAACAAGAAAAGTTTATAGTTTCTGAAATTTTCACTAAGAATACTTAAACTAATGACTACATATTGAAGATAAGCCCCCTTATAGGATTAGGAAACTGAAACTAAATTGCCACATTTTCCTATTTGCAAATAACCTTATTTGCAAATTTGTCTCAAGGCAACTGAATGAAAAGTAGATATTCTTCTCCCTCAACAATCTCTCAGAAATAAATGGGACAAGAAAGCAATTGTCTGAGACAGTCCTATTTTCTTAAAGAAAACATTCCGTATTAATTGACAAAAGTACCCGAGTCCCCAATGTTTATGGCATTCAGAGCTTGTCTCTCAGTATGCGATTTAAAAATATATCCATAAAAATCCTTGCCAATAATAACAACTTCTTGTCTGTTGATGCTGTCTACCGATTAAAATCTCTATTAGCAGCCTCACATTTAGTTTGTTAAACCTTATAAAAAATGTTTGAGCATCTCTAATTTGCAAAACACGTGCTAGAGACAGTGGCAAGTACAAAGATGAACAGACTGTCCTCCCTCACATTTATAATCTAGCGAGAGATACAGACAATGGTGTTGTTGGACTTGGTCATGCACTTAATGGTTGTGCATCAGGATTTTTCATTTATTTTGATAAGGAAAATGATTTTAAAGAGTACATTTTGCTTCTGTTATCACTTAAAATGTGTTTAGCTTGTGTTACAATTTATAGTATGCTTTGCTTGTGTTATTTAAAATGAAAATTCTTTTATGTCACAGGTATCTCTTTGCAACCATTATGGTGCTATTATAATAACACTAGAGACTCAGTGCATGAATTTGTGCATAGGTAGGTTCCCTTGCCTGGTCAGCAATCAAGCAGACTAGGGCCAGCTGGTAGCGGGGAAGGACTGCAGGAGATTGGCTGTGGGAATGCACTGTCCACCAGGGGGCAGCTCCTGCATTGACTGTCAGCCCCCTGGTGGTCAGTGCATGTCATAGCTACTGGCTGGTCATCTGTTCATAAAAGTTGTTTAGGCTTTTAGATGCTGTGTTTCCCCGAAAATAAGACATCCTCCGAAAATAAGACCTAGCGCATGGAAAAATAAGACATCCCCTGAAAATAACACCTAGCACAACTTTGGGAGAAAAAGTTAATATAAGACATTGTCTTATTTTGGGGGAAACAGGGTAGATAGATATCACATAATGCTATTAAGCTGATGATCAAATAACTATTTCTGCATTATTATAGACACAGGAGTTGGCAAAAAGTCCTGATAAGTCAAATGGCGACCCTTAATGGCAACTATATATATATATATATATATGTAAACTGGTGAGGACATATAACTACCAAGTTTTCTCATGTTTTACAAAACTGTAAATTCTTATCAACAGTTGTCTATGGAGTTATTAAATTACAAATGTCCTATTTGGAGAAGTAATACCCCCCCCCCCGCCCCTTATTTACATATGAGAAAGCTTTTTGAAGTTGCATGATTGCTAAGGGTATAGCGACTGAGATAAGAAGGTTGGCAGAAGAACAAATGTAATCATGTGGCTAGCTTCTGCTTCTCAGCTACAACTTTTTTCCAGAATGAGACAGTGGCCTCACACATCCTAAAAACTTTAAAAAATGCCAGAGAGGGAAAGAGTTCAGTGAAAGTTACGTGAAAATTCTTTATCTTTGAGCAGGTATCCCGATACACCCTGACACAGAGAAGTATGTTTTCTATAGTTCTGTGAATGTATGTTGAATTTAGGTGCTTTATGTATTTTTCCAGGCCAACAACCATCATCAATCCTTTCTTTGTTCCAATGAAAGACGACAGAGAAATGCCTTAAATACATTTTGGCATTACTAATTTTGTGATATTATGTCTTAATTCAGAATTCATTAAGACAAAATAACAACAACAAAGAGAATGAAAGAAATAATCATTTGGAAGAACCCAATCATAGTTAAAAATCATAGCTCATCCTTTGGTGTGCTCCTGACTTTTGTTCCTACCCGGATGAGTAATGTTGAAATAGTGAATACTTTCTACTGTGTTAGAACCAAAGAGTTGTTAGTTCTGAACTGATAAAAACTTTTCTCCAAACCTGAGTATTTATGGACAGAATTTCTGGTTTGTAAAACCAAACTCAGTGTTAATCTTATTCCTAGTCTCTCTGACAAGAACAAAACCACAAACAAATTAAGAAAATAGAGACTTACTGTATCACGTTGCCTGTTCTCTTTCCCTGATATTATCAAGAAGTAGTTCCATGTCAATAGTAACAACAACACCAGCGGTATCATGTAGAGCTCAAAGTTCCACACAACAAAGAGGAAAAGCTGGAGGAGAGAGAAGAGAGAAAAAAAGATGAGATAGCTCCAAATTTCATTAAATGGACTCTTATCAATACTCCATTTAAAAAAAAAACACAATCACAAACAAAATGTTTCAGAACGGAAAGATTTATCTTAAAAACAAAGCCTTAAAACGTGGTAGGCATTTTTCTAACGCATAGGTGACCTCTGGAAAGCCACAGGTAAGAGTTTCACTTTGTTTCATTTCTATGAAGAAAAAATGGATATCATTACATTGTCTATAAGGCAATTTTAATTTTTCTCCTTCAGTGAAATTATTGTTAGGTAGAACAAAATTAAGGGGGGAAAATGAGCAAAATGAGTCTTACTGCATTGTCAGAAATAGCTGGTCTAGCTGCCTTAATAATAAAGAAAGAATTTCTATTTAATATCAGGGTCTTTAAAAAAATATCTCACTTGGATAATACAATGTCACAAGCATAATAGGCAGATGAAAATACCAAGTCTATACAAGAGAGCCTCAAAGATTTCACATTATGAATAAAAGCACCTCTACCAACAAGTATGAAAAAGGGTTGGCTTACCATTCAGCATTACCGTAGAAATCAAAAAGCTCTTTGAAAAAAAAGAATACTTTTGCCAAAGAAACTTTTTAAATATCTATTTCTATTATATTTTAAAACTACCTACTTCTTTAAGTATATAAATGATTTTTTTTAAATTATGAGACCTTAGATTAAGAACTCACCTAGGTGGGCAGAAGGAGCCATTCTAAGAATATTTGCATTGCAAATAACTAGCATTGGCTGTAAAGTGCAACTCTCCTACATTCCCCACCAAATTCTTACAATGGGGGTCAGATCAGTGACATTTTCTGGGTCTGCAGCAGCTGCAGCTAAATTAGTCATGTTAAGTCAGATGGTAGTTGAGAGCTAGATTCTACTCCTGATAACTAGCTTTATACTTTTTGGTGCCATGTATATTTCACCTTTAGTTTCTTCCTCTGTAAAATGGGGATGACAAGAGTATCTACCAGAGAGGTCATCAAAACTAAGGAGCTGAAACATTTTGAGGATTTTACACACTGCTTAGCATCCAGTAAGTGCTCAAAACTCATTATTGTGTAATGAGATCAATACCTTACAAAACTCAGAAAGTTAATTATTGACTAAGATCCCTAGGTAATGCATATTTTAATACTGAAAACTAGAAAGTCATCTGCCTGCTAGGATATAGCTGCACCATAGCAGAACTGGGAACCTGAGCCAGATGGTAACACAGACATCTTGCATTTGATAGACCTGAAGGGGGAGGAACTTTACTCTGAGAACACTAGTGTCGGGAACAACAGCATAGGCCACTTGCAATCCTCTTAATAAACCTCAGCCGAGTCCACAGTCTATTCGAATGGCAGAGAAAATGAGCCTATGAGGGGATGTGGAGGGACAGACCCCTAAAGGTCAGAAGACAGGTTCCGAGCCTTAGAAAGCCATTCAACCTCATTGTTTTCATTTTTAAACAGAAGTATATAGATCTAGCCACCTCTAACATACCTTCTCCAATGTTTTAAGTGACTTTATGATATTACTGTATCATCAGGGTTTTTCAAATGTGACATTAAATTTTGAAAATTATATATTTTACTGAATTATTTGATATTCATGAGCCAGATAGACACCAAAAGCATAAGTAATGGTTTAGTAGCCCAAGAAGTAAATTTTGGACAGAATTACATGGTAACTATAGATTCAAGTTCCTGAATAATAATAATAATAAAAAATCTCAAATATATCAGTACATCAAACATGAGCCAAATCTTTGCTTTCACCAGAAAAGTAAAAAGATTTCCAGAGAAAGAAATATTTCCCTTTGATTTCTGAAATTGATACAATATTTATATTTTATTGATTTTTTACAGAGAGAAAGGGAGAGAGATAGAGAGTTAGAAACATCGATGAGAGAGAAACATCGACCAGCTGCCTCCTGCACACCCTCTACCGGGGATATGCCCACAATCAATATACATGCCCTTGACCAGAATTGAACCTGGGACCTTTCAGTCCGCAGACCGACGATCTACCCCTGAGCCAAACCGCTTTCGATACAATATTTATAAAGATGATCCTAATATAAAAAAACCCAGGGGCCGTCACGACCTAAACCAGGTGGATGACTCCATTGATCAAGGGATGGCTAAAGGAGGAACTGGGGTTCCTCAGGTTCTGATGAATCCATGGCAGCAGTGACTGGTGAGTGGGCAGGCAGAAGGCAGACCACTTGGTCCCTCCTCCTGGACCTCAGACTTCAATCAATGCCAAAGTCAAGATATTGCTGAGTGACTGTCTGGTGTGTGACAGTTGTGTGACCACAGAGGGAGTCCAAGGTTCTCAACAGAACACCAAGGACATCTTCAGTGTTCTGAACCTTAATAATAAATGTGATAACTCACAGCACAAGGTGCTGGCAGTGTCCATGTGTCTTCAGTCTCTGCCTTATTTTGCTGCTAAATTCAGACTCAGTGTCACTGATGCATCCAAAGGTTCTGCAGCTTCCTCAAAAGCCTTGGGGAGCACTCTCTTTGATATGAATATAGCCGCAGACTTTAGCATCCTGGAGAGTCAGAAGGAATTTGTGTGTTGGTACTGCCAACACTGGGAGAAGTCAGCCCCAAGCTGACTTCTGCCTACCCTTGCTGGGTCTAATATGCAGAGCACATGCTGGGTCACCCCATCACCTCTGCATGGCCAAGTCTCCCCAGCATATTATGGGCTCTCTGTAGAAGATTAGCATGCTCTGCCCTCACATGCTGCTTGCCCTAAGTGAGAAGGAAGAGAGCAGCTGGCCCACAGACAACTACATAGAAAGATAGGGCTCAAGGCTGATGAACACTGTGGTGGTGGCAGGAGTCTCTCCTGCTTCCATGGCAGTACTAAGGAACAGTGAGTCAAGTGGTAAAGAACAGCAAGCAGGCAGGCAGTAAGGAGCGAGGAATCCTGGACTGCAAGAGGGATTTCCAACTGTTGGCTTACTTCGGTAAGGAACAAGCAGGCAGATGGACATCCCCTGAGGGGTCCTCGACTGTGAGAGGGTGCAGGCCAGGCTGAGGGAGCCCCCCTCCAGTGCACAAATTTCATGCACTGGGCCTCTAGTATAATTATACTTGATGACTACAATTCTATTAAAATGTATTTTTTAAGAGATAATTATTTATTAAGGTAGTGAATTAAGGTAAATTTTGCAACCATCAACACATGTAAAGAGAAATTATTGATGGTTAGAATTCATACTAATTCTTTATACATTTATCTATAATTTTCAGGTAATCACTAGAAGATAAACTCATATGGGTAGGGATTAATACATTTTCATTTCAGTTCTATCCCCAGAGCCTAGAACAGCAGTGCTTAAGGCACAATCGGTGCTCAATAAATATGTTTGCTGAATTAATGACTAAATGGATCCTGGGTTTCGGAGTCTTCTTAATTATTTGCAATAGTAAATGTGCTGTAGAGCCACTGTATAAAATCAAGTGACTTCAAGAAAATATGTAAAGAATTACAACCTGGAATGCCACTAACAAATTTCTCTCTGAGGCACATAAAGATTCTCCTATCCTTTTAATGCAGTCAGAAACTGTCTTGTGTATTACAGTCTGACCACAGTCTTTCCTACATGGTTGCTTTTTCTGGGGACATTCACTTGACTCAGTGTGTTTTGGCCTCATATGATTCCATTGTTAAGTATTGCCAATTCTATTAGTTTTTAACCTGAATATATATATATATATATCCACCTGTAATATCTACTCATTCGTGTTAGAGACTCATTGTTGCTCAGAATAAAATTCCTTGTATTGGTGTTAGATGTAGGCTAGATGTGCATAGAATAATTTTCTATATGATAATCCTATAAGAAACCAAAAGATTTGTCATGTTATTTCTTCTCCAGGTTCAACATCACTAGTTGCTTCAACTACCAGTTACAAGTGTAGTTTCTGACATTCTACATGGCAGATGTCTTCTCATCACATCCAAATCAATACATCAGTAGCTTTCTTAAAATATAGCACTCAGAACAGACACACTTCTCATGAAAACCTGTGGTTATTGATATGCCCTCACAACATGAGCACCAGAACTCTAAGACGGAGCCAAAGGAAGAAACTGCTTTAGTTTTATGGAACTAGCAGTGCAAAAAATAGTTTCTTTTCCTATTGTGTGTTTTTTAAGAATCCACTGTTTAGGTAACTAAGCAGGGAGCCTGTGATGTTGAAAATATCCTTTTAAAAAACAAGCTTATACTCTGAAAACTATGATACATAAAAGAAATGAAGTTAAGATATAATCAAATGGAAGAATAAACCTAGCTAATGGATTGGAAAGATTAATATTGTTAAAAATGTCCTTATTACCTGAAGTAATATACAGATTCAGCAACACTTATTAACACACTAATAGTATTCTTCTCAGAATTAGAATTAATCCTATAATGTAGATGGAACTAAAAAAGACCCCAAATAGTCAAAGAAATCTTGAGAAAGAACAGAATGGGAGGTATCATTCAAACTGATATCAACTATACTTCAAAACTATAATAACCATTATGCCGAAGCCGGTTTGGCTCAGTGGTAGAGCGTCGGTCTGCGGACGGAAAGGTCCCAGGTTCTATTCCGGTCAAGGGCATGTACCTTGGTTGCGGGCACATCCCCGGTAAGGGGTGTGCAAGAGGCAGCTGGTCGATGTTCCTCTCTCATCGACGTTTCTAGCTCTCTCTCTCTCTCTCCCTTTCTCTCTGTTAAAAATCAATAAAATATATATTTTTTAAAAAACTATAATAACCATTATGGTATGGTATTGACAAAAAACAAATACACAGACCAATGGAATAGAACCCAGAAATAAATCCTCGCTTACATAGTCAATTAATTTATGACAAAGGAGACAAGGATACACAATGAGATAAAGATGACAGTCTTTTCACTAAGTGGTGATGGGAAAACTAGACACATAATTGCAAAAAAAAAA